GGGGGGGGGTGGGAAACATGCCTGACCTCAAGTGAAAGCCCGGCGGCTCTAGATTCCGACAATTCAGTGGTGAGACTAAGGCAGTTAAGATAATTCACGATGAAAAAACGATGAATCTGTGACACGATTTCCGGAATGATTGCAGCGCCTCCTTGCGGAGGATCACACCCAGCACCCAAGTGGGACGGCTGAGCGGCTCACACTCTGACATTGGTTTGCTGTTAACTCAGTTCCCAAGTTGAGAAGGAAGGTGCTGGAAAAGCAAGGTGAAAGAGCCCGGTGACTTGCATTGTTGAAAAATGTTTCACTAGAGCGGCTGGCTGCCATTCACAAGCTTTTTGCGCGCGCACAGACCCAATCGCACTCTCGCCTGCATTTCGCGCACTCGACACGCACGATCTCCGCAGAGGGTTGCGCGCGCACAGACTCAATCGCACTCTCGCCTGCATTTCGCGCACTCGACACGCACGATCTCCGCAGAGGGTTGCGCGGGCAGCCGGCAAATCGCACTCTCGCCTGCATTTCGTGCGCTCGACACGCACGATCTCCGCAGAGGGTTGCGCGGGCACCGGACAAATCGCACTCTCGCCTGCATTTCGCGCACTCGACACGCACGATCTCCGCAGAGGGCTGCGCGGGCATGGGACAAATCGCACTCTCGCGTTCATTTCGCGCACTCGACACGCACGATCTCCGCAGAGGGTTGCGCGGGCAGCCGGCAAATCGCACTCTCGCCTGCATTTCGTGCACTCGACACGCACGATCTCCGCAGAGGGTTGCATTTTCGGTTGACGCTGTTCGTCCCACCCCCCGCCTTTAAGAGAGAATCTATAAAGTGGGGAAATATGGGGAAATGTTTTTCATTAGGACATCTCCCGTGCTAGTTTTCCATGCTCACACTTGCATACTCATTGCATGCTTGCATACTCATTGCATGCTTGCATACTCATCATTGCACTTGCATCATTACACTTGCATACTTTGACACTTGCATACTTTGCACTTGGATGCTTTCGCTCTTCCACTTACACTGGGGTACGTATAGCGTTCATGTTGTAGTGCAAGTGTGGAAATGTCAGTGTGTAAGTGTAAGTGTCGAAGTGTCAGTGTTCAAGGGATTTTCCGGAAGAACCCTTCGCAATGCTTTCGGGAAAAAGCAAAAGCAGAAGGAAAAGCAAAAAGCAAAAGCAAATGCAAAAGCAAACAGTTGAAGCAAAAGCAAAAGTCAAAAGCAAAAGCAGTAGAGAAAAACCAAAAAAAACGATAAAAAAAGAAAACCATTAAAAAAGGAACGAAAAAAAAAAAAAGCGAAATACCGGTTCCCCGGTGAACTTGGATTCGGAGTTTTGGGCAACAGTTTTCCATGAAGGTACCCAGCTGTCTTGATTGAAACAAGTGGGTTTGAAGTGCAGTTGCCTTTGCTTGCAAATCGGTCCCTGCACCAAAAAGGTATTCACAAGGGGAACATGCGCACTAAAGAATGTATACATGTCAAAAAACTCTCTCACACACCGCATAAAACACGACATTTGTCTACAAACCAAAGGCTTTGGCAAACGGGAAGGCTTAACTGCAAATAACACCAGCAAAAGAAGACATATGACATATGCGAAGATTGAAGGTTTTACTAAAAGAAAATCTGTGCATAAAGAAGTGTACCTTATTAAAGAAAGTGCAACTCTACTATGATGATACGGGTCTCATATCGGAACGAGGCGCCTCATCCTATCTATATATTGAGTGCTGATAATTTGTAGGACTTTGTGCCTGAAACATAGGTACCACGGGGGAGTAGAATATATTCATATATATATATGTATGTATGTATGTACACGGTACACGTATTATAGTTTTTTGACACTACACACACGTGTCTTAAGAGCTTAGGGGCCAAAGCTTTGGAGCTCGATCAAGTCAGCGCAGGTCTGACCACACCAACTTTATCGCTTTCGTGATCCATGCTCCATCTGCAACCATGAGGACCTGAAACAAAATTGAAGAAATTGTGCCCCCAATGCTATGGCACATAAATTACAACAATTCTGCGAAAAACATGGTGTGAACCTCACACTGATGAGTCCGACTCCGGCTTCACCTTGTAAAAGTTCCTCTGACAGACTCAGCTATGCTTGCAGCGGCAGCTTGGTGTTTTGAGAGTGGCTTTAAGCGCCTGGTCTCAAACCTTCCGTGCCACGCCCTGTTCCAGTTTGTCTCATGTCCACCTGGCAGGGCGCCAAATCGGTGCCACTACCCGTGAACAAAAACAAAGGCGCAACGGCACGACCGTCAAACTAGCCCTAAGATCTTACTGCTATGTCACATGCAAAAGGCCAATCCAACTAAGACTCACTGTTTCAGCATCTTCAAAAAATAACTTTGTTCCACGCATACCCGGCCAACTGTTCACAATGCTGGTCAAGGTGAACATGACAAAAAGAAGAGCCAGCAAGCGAGAGAGCCACAAGCGAGATGAAACAAGCACAAGGAAAAACACACACACAATGGACCACCAAAATTACGGTATACCATATATATATATATATATTTGGTTCATCCATACACGTGAATGCTCGTGAATCTGGAGCTCCCAAAACCAAAACATGATAAAACATGAATATTGTGCTAGGAAAAATGGACAGCCAAAAAGGCTCCGAGGTCTTTGGTCTTGCTTCAGCATCCCCAATGGATCAATCCGGTGGTCGGTTCGGGAAGGCGTTTTGAGGATTGCGGGTGTTCCGGGGCCAAATTCCATTCACATGATGCAGCATTTAATTGGTGCAACCCAAGTGTAGAAATGCCCAGTTGCAGAAATGCTTGGACAATTCCCAGGTGCTTTCTCAGCTTATGGCAGCTTCACCTTTTCGGGGTTGAGCTTCTTACCCTTCCGAACAGCGCAGACTCAATCAAGGGCCCATAGCCACTTGCGCACCATCTTCTCGGACGATTTGTGGGCGGTTTCTGTGTGGTTATGTCGGCCAGCATTGCCCTTGATAACGGTGATAAGTTGACAATTGAACACGCGTGGCCTGGTCCAGTTCCCCTATTCTTTGCACTGCGTTCGCAGTGCAAGTGCAGTGTTGGCACAAGTGTACCTCTGCCCAACGCCAATGACCTTCGTCAATGAGTCAAGGAATGCATTCTGAGATGTCGAAGTCAATCGCACTCTCCCATTTCATAAAATGACGATCCAATTCTCCAGGTCTTCAACTTCCCAAACAGTTGCCAACCTCCTCCCTATCTGGCTGCGATCAAGGCGCCATGGTATTTGGCCATGGTCAAAGGCTTTCATGGATGACACCTGTCATGAGCCCGATGGCGGGCTGACGTGGTCTATGAGCGTCGGCTCGCCAAGTGGGATGGCTTGCGTAAAGCTACAGTCAGTTAGAGGGCGACGGGACAGGAAGGTGACATGTTCCAGTATGTTTCTCTACATGCCCATGGTGACGTGCATATTCAGCCGTCTCTGGCTGCAGCAGGGCTGGTGAAATGCTCGAATGGCTTCCGTTTGGTGCTGATGCGATCCTGCCTTCCCATCGCGTGCAAGGAAGTTGTGTCGGCGGCGCATGCCTCCAGCGACGTGTCACTGGGCATAACAAGAATATCAAATCTGGATGGGCAAATCCTAAGACTCAGGAGATTACATCCGATCTGGGCCTGGGAGTGGGGTTCTGGTCATCCTTCAAGGTAGCTCGAATGTTTTTCACCCAGTATGGTGTCTCCATAGGCCTCTGGCAAAAACAAGCCCAGTTCTCCTAACATCTTACGGATTCACCTGAAGCTCGTTGCTGGATGATTTGACAATGATTCATTGGGCGCCAGCTTCAACATACTTTTCATTGGAACCGGCCGACCCATGGGTTTTGTGGTTTTGCCAGTCCAATGTCCATGCAAATCAGAATGACTGCAAGAAGCTTCACCAAAATGTCACACGGAAGTGGCACATGATTCCCCCAAAGGCCGCTAGGACTAGCACTCACACATGCAAACAAGTCTTTCGAGTTCAGGTGCCATCCCTCAAGAATCTTCGCTGGGCCTATGCCAAGAGCAAAAATGACAGCGGCTGCAGCTTTGGCCATCCTTGCAACCTCTGGGTTTGTGTGCGTACTTGCCTCGGACGGTCTCTGAACTCGGGTGCGAGTACGTGTCAAACATGAACCATCACGCGTCGAACAAGCAGGGCAGCCCCCATGGTGCTCGGACCATCTCGGACACAAATTTGACCACAAGTTGAAACGATTCAACCAGTGCGCTTTTTTGAAGACATGAACAGCTCACAAGCTAATGCATGTGCAGTAGCTAATTTGAAAAAAAAACACATTATATATTCTTAGAACAATCTTGAAGAAACAAACCAAGCGTCGGTGTTTTGGATTGTTTTGACCCAGTCTCCAACCCAAAACGATGAACACGAGCCGCGAGCCAAAGCGTTTCACTCACACCACCTCTCGATTGGACAATTGACCTTGGCCTACCAACCAGTGCAAATTAACAAAGCGCTCCATCATCAACAGTGACAAAAGGGCACTGTAAAATTACTAAGCAAACATTAAACAACTCTACGTATGCCAGAACAGAGTCCCAAATCGCAACTGCGATTGACAAGAGTCACCTATGATCTGAATGGAAAGGCATGACCCCATGCAGGATGCCTAGCATTTCCTATAGCTACTAAACCACTGAATGGTCGCCTAGAAGATTGAACACTCGAGAGGAACCGTGGAGCTGAGGAGAGGAGCCGCCAGTTCAAGGTTCTTACACCCATGAACCTGAACTGAGCAGGTAAGGGGAGTCAAATGTGGCAAACTGATTTAGTGCTGTATTGGACAGGGAGTAATCAAACAAATCATGTTTATGTGCCAATATATATAACTAATTTGCAGGAACTTAAGCCTTTTCCTGCCCAAAGAGTTGTCATAATTCATATTGACTTTAGTTTAAGTGTATAGGTTCTAGGAACAAAAATGTCAAATCCTAATGAGTCAGGCGGGGCGGAAGAATAAAGACCTGTCTGCATAGTTTAGTGGGAGAGAATAATAGCAACAAAATGCTTGCCCCTGCCCGTGATTTGTTGTTCCGTTTTTCAATTTATATATAGTGTACTTTGTTCAGCTGCAGCTGCCCTTTCAGATCCTTGATAAAACTCTTCTGAGGGTTTGTTTGATTCGTGGAGCCTGGAACTATGATCTGAAAACCTTGTTCAAACCCTTATTTAAACTGATCGAAGACATTGTTTGAAACTTTTGTGTCAAGGGGGCAGTGCGCAAGCCCCGGGGAAGTGAATTGTATGAGTTGTTTGGGGTTGGGGTTGATGCGCCAACTTGAAGGCACAGGACATAGGAAAAGTATCTCAGCTTAGTTTTCTATTGTTCTGCTGCAACTGCAGCAGCAACAACAACTACTACCGCTGCTGCCCCTACTCCTACTCCTACTCCTACTCCTACTACTACGACGACTACTACTACTCCTACTCCTACTACTACTACTACTACTACTACTACTACTACTACTACGACTACTACTACTACCCAAATAGTTTTGGTGGGTTTGATTCAGTTCACTTTCCTCCGATTATACAATTGCTAGGGGGGATCAAGTTTATTGTTTCAGATCGCACATTACATAGTCAGGTGAACATACGTCCACTCTTCGTTTCTCGGCGCCCAGACAAGGCTCCGCACAGCTGAAGGGATGGCCAAAGGAGCCCACCTAGTTGGCATGTCTGGTTGAGTGGTTAAAGAGTTGGGAAAGTGGTTAAAGAGTTGGGAACAAGAAAACAGTTTAAGATTTCACATGTTCTAAGATTACAAATGCCAGGAAAATACAGGGAGCGCTGTTGCATCACATGTTCTCATACGTTCTCATGCAGCATGAGGGTCGTGTAAATTTGTATTACAGTAGGTTTTGCATTTGTGAAAAAAAGGCAATGGGGCATGTTTACCCATCAACAGTCTAAACATACGCCGGGAATTCTGGACTCACATTCGAAACCATGTCACCACTGCTTTAGCAGTCAATCGCAGCCGAAGAGTCTATGATTGACCTGTACCAGGTCCATGATGGTCTTCGTTCTGTATCTACTCACTTCTACCTGGTGTCAAATCCTTCCAAAGACCAACTGAGACTGAGTACACTTAGCAAATCACCAAAACATGTGCAAGTGCTTGGAAGACTGCATGCTACCCAAGGCCGGAAACACAGGGAAGCTGTTCCCCATGGAGACTGGAAGTGATGGCACAAAGAAGGTTCGTCAAGGTGTTGACTTCAATGAAATCCCTTTCACCCTGAGGTTCCTTCAGTTCCTAACAAACCAAACCACCTGTAGAGAAGACACCTCGCCGCTGACTCAAAGGGTTGCTCTGCCAGTTGGGTCGGCTGGCCACTCATTCATACATCTGTGCCTGTTAGGGGGGATCTGCATAGATTCCAAGGTAGTCCAGCCCACACCCATCCTGCAGTGCATGGAGTCCAAGGGCATGTATTGAAACGCGATGTTCGACAACAAAGCAACATACAGTACAGCGACCCTGTATCTGCATCCCCCGGCAAACCTATCATTTTGGCCCATGTTTGTATGCACCATATTTGGACCATAACCGTGGACCCCGACGTTTCTAAGCCAAACTCCCCCCTGCAAATCGAATTCCCTTGCCATTGTCCAACACATTTGGTAAGGGTGACCACGGCGATATGACCCATCCAAAATCGACTCGATACGTCTTCCCACACATCTTTTTCTTGGGCACAGAGAAGGCAATGGCAGGTTGGGTGACATCAGCACCAGCAGCACCTGGTTCCAATAACCTGGCTCGTCGCTCGAAACGGGCAGTGTGTGTGTCCATATGTCTTGGTTGAAAACCCTTTTTGGAAGGACCAAGTTTGTCCTTTCGGAACAACCCGATCACTTGGCACGTCGAAGCGATAAATGTGGGAGACAAAGATCCCGGCACCCAGGAATACCCAAGATCCTGGAGGTGCCCGGTACTCCCGGTACTCCAGTAGTAGGTCATACATACAAACACCACCATCGCCAGCCTGCCCACGACTGACATAGAGATCAGGCTAGGAGAAGGACACCAAATCGAAACAAAACGATTTAGAACGGGAACCAACCCAGTGGCACCACTCTGAGGTCGGGGAGCTGCAAATCATTGGATGTTGGTCCTCAGTTTGGAGGATTGCTGGAGTCAGTAGAACCGCAAAAGCTCCCGCCGTGCGTGGTCCGACGACCGAAAGACACACAAATCAATGAAGCACATGCCACTCCAAACGACTCCAAACATCTCCAAACTGGTTGGAGATACAGTGTCACCTTCTGGAGTGGCGAGACTATATCCAGTTGTACCTTCTGGTTTGCACATACAAGATCCCTACCCCTTCCTGAGGGGGGACGTCGAAAATTGTAAGTTACATTTTCCTATCCGTAGGGCCTCAAAAAATGTAATTACATTAACTTTGAGGTGGCCTCAAAAAAGTAACTTACATTTTTGAGGCCTCATGGGTGATTTCCCGGGGAATGACCTCAAAAATGTAAGTTACATTTTTGAGGCACAATGGAGCGCTTACATTTTTAGACACCCCCTATCCTAGAAGTTGAAACTTGACACATGTAACTTGACACATTTCCTGTTCTGCTTTGTTGATGATGACTCATATTTTTGGAGGCTATGCTTTCCTTATTGGGAGTATTGGGAGGCATCAGTTTGTCTGTGTGGGTGTGCCCTCTTTCCCTTTCCTGTAGGCTTTTTCTGGGTGTGCCTGCAATATCCTTTAATATCCTTTAAGTACTTTTGTGTGGCTTGTTGCTGCAGAAAGCAAACATGAGTCACAATCAGCAAGAATATCAGCCACAAGATCAGCCACACACACAAAGCCAAGACAAAACAAAACCCCACACTAAGGTAACAAATCCTGCAATATCCCCATCATTTAATTACTTTTGTGTGGCTTGTTGCTGCATGAGTCATCATCAGCAAAGAATAACAGCCATAAGATCAGCCACAAGATCAGCCACACACACAAAGCCAAACAAAACAAAACCCCACACTAAGGTAACAAATCCTGCAATATCCCTTAATATCCTTTGATTACTTTTGTGATCTTTTGTGTGGCTTGTTGCTGCAGATAACACACATGAGTCATCATCAGCAAAAAATAACAGCCACAAGATCAGCCACAACAGGGAGAGGCTTGCCACCTGGTTGCGCTTCGTGACATCGGACATGAGTGATTTTCAGCGTGCTAAAATGTAAGTAATGCAGGGGGACACTCCAGTTCCTTGAAATTCTGGGAAGTTGGGCATGTGCTAAAAATGTAACTTACAATTTGTGAGGTCCAACTTGATCCCAGAACCCACGTATTCCCTGCAAAATCTGAGGGTTTGGTTGCGTGGACTAATTGTAAGTTACAATTTTTCACGTCTGCAAATCTCACCTGTGTCCTTTTCCTTGGCGTTGATGCATCAGTTTGTGCGTGTGTATCATCAGGATTTCCGCTTGGCTTCATTGGTGGCGTCTGGAAGCTTGCGCCGACAGGGAGGGGCCGTGGTGGATGCTTTGTTCAAAAGCATCATGCTCAAGATCAACCGGAGAGGGTCTTAAACACATGTAACTCTAAGCCTGCCAGGTTGCAACTTACATTTTTTAGACCTCCCACACATCCCTTCGATCTGCCAACACACCCTGGGGGGGGGGGGCTTTAAAAATGTAAGTTCAGGCCTCCCAGGTCCCAAGTTACATTTTCCAGACCCCCCCCCCCC